AGGTAGGTCGTAGGTAGGTCGTAGGTAGGTCGTAGGTAGGTCGTAGGTAGGTCGTAGGTAGGGGAGGTTATAAGCAAGTCGTAGGTAAGTGAGGTCGTAGGTAAAGTAGGTCGTAGGTGGTGTAGGTAGGTAAGTATCGTTAGATAAGGAAGTTTTTAGAGGATATTCTAAGGAAAGAAGAAGGTTTATATAGATAGATCTACCTCTAGAAAATATAAGGTCTAGAGCCTTCTTTATCTTTCTCTACGTAAGTAGAATAGGAAGGAACCCTCTCGAATTTACTCTTTACGTACGTAGAATAAGAAGGAACCCTCTCGAATTTACTCTTTACGTAACTTAGAAGAGTAAAGAACCTTTTAGAATCTACCCCTTAGTTATATATAAATATCTAGAACCGTTTAGAAAAAAGAAGATTCTCGAAGATTCTACGCTTATCCTTTCCTAATTCGGAAGTCCCGCTTATACCTTCCTAATTAGGAAGTCTCTAAGCGTAAATAACTTTATAAGTTTAAAACTACTTTTTAAGTACTCCTTAGTACTTTAAGCGTACCTTATAAGTAGGTCCTAATTTTTACTTATTAAGTAATACTTTTAGTATAAATTTCGCAAAGTAATCCTAAGTTCTAAAAGAGTCCCTTACGCTTAAAGTTTACGACTCGATTACTTTAGTAGTACGTATAGCTAAGCTTAGAAAACTCGTATATAGGGTATCCTAATACTAAAGAATCGATCTAGCTAATAATACTTACTTAAAAGTATACTAGTTTAAGAGATAGGAGCTTACTTCTTTACTTACTCTTAAGGGCCCTAGCGTACTACTTAGTACTACTTAGAGATACTTCTCTATACGTACCTATAGAGCTAGTAGAGAGCTTTCTAAATCTATTTTTACTATCTTCGTAGCTCTCTTAGTTAGGAAGATATTTAGACTTAGGCTTTCTAGGGTTACGGGGTCTAGGTTAGGGCCCCACTTTTCCTGTAGGTAGCGGAAATCTTATAACGCTTATAACTTTACACTTAGTATAGGTACTGAGGCTATAAACTTATATCTAGCTACTTATAAGCCAAGGGATCGAATAAGCTAAAAATACTAACTTAGAAAGTCTATAGTTAGCGAGCTAGGGGTACCCCTATCCTTACCCTAAGCCTTACCCTAAGGTTAACCTCATCGGTACGTAGCGTACTAAGAGGTACTATTTATAGAAACTTATATATACGTACGTATAGAGCTACTAATTCTCTCTCTAGAGCTACTCTTAGTATTCTCGTAGCTACTATATATAAAGAGCTAGTAGTACTTAGAGATTCGGGGGTTAACTTTTCCTTACCCTAAGTCTTACCCTAAGCTTAACCCCTAGGGTTAGCTTCGGAAGCTAATAACTCTATAAGTACTAGGTCTAAGGAAAAAGTAAATAAGCCATTTTATAGATCCAAACGAGCTCTACGCGCCTATATATTCCATTTTTCAAGTCTCATATAAGAAATCGAGGGTACCATAGTATATTAGTTTCACTTGGTACCCTCCATACAAATTCACTTGGTACTCTCCGAGGGTACCAAGTTTTCTAATAGTAGAGTAGATAATGTTAGGAAATTTAGGAATACTTACCGTCTTTATTAAGCTATATTTTAAATTCATTATAGGTATTAAACCCTAAATACATTATAGTATATGACTCCTTCTATCGTTTAGGCCGAAAGTAGATGCCGAGATCTCGAAGCTTAATAGACCGAGTCTAAGCTTTTTTTAGCTCGTTTAGGGTTATAGTATTAGTGACTTTAGTCTTAACGGTACCTATATCCGGAGTCTAGGCGCTAGTCTTAGGTTTAATAAACTCTCTACTACTATAGCCTTGTTTAAGTTTAGTAAATACCTAACTTAAAGGTTCACGGAACCTATGCTTCTTAATCTAAGGTACTATGTTATCGTACGTAAAAGGAAACCTAAAGCTTAGGTATCCCTTTTTAGGGGTTAGCGTGCTAGCTATAGCGAAGGCTAGCTAGAGGCGCTAATCTCTATAGCTATGTAGTTTAGTGTACGCGATAATAGTAGGAGTTAATGTCCTTAGAAACGTAATGCTAGAAATGGACCTTAAGTCTCCCGTAGGATATAGTTAAAATAAAGGTTATTATAGAGGTAACGATAGGAGGAGAGGCAAAGTACGGTAGGAGTAATTTATAACCCTCTCGTTATAGTAGCCTAAAATCTAGTATTAAGTTTCTAGTGTATCTCTTTAGCTAGGCCTCCCGAATGTTATCCCGCTAATTACTATATTATTTAGTCTAGTTCCGTTACTATTATAGTTATAGGTTAGGTTTAGGTTACTATCTATCCTTCGGTTTAGTTTTATTTAGTGAAACTTAATTAGTATTACTTAACTTTATTCCGCTTAATAGTAGGTGTTTAGCCTTTTATTTTTATCTAACTTCGATTATCTAAACTATAAGTACGTAAGTTCTCTATTAATCGTAGATTAAAACTACTCCCCGTAACTTATATAATTACTATACTATTTAGTCTAGTTCCGTTACTATTATAGTTATAGGTTAGGTTTAGGTTACTATCTATCCTTTAGTTTAGTTTTATTTAGTAAAACTTAATTAGTATTAGGCCTGATGGTGCAGTGGCTATGCATCTAGCTACCCGTGTCCTGGAAAAGTCGGCCGCCAATGAGCGAGTCGTGACTAGGCAGGGGGGTGGGTTCGAATCCCACTCAGGTCACCTCTAGGACCTTGTCCCACCCTAGAGTAAGCCCTTCGGCCCCGCGGAATTCGTGCCCCCGCCGCGCCGTCGTGTCGAGGCCCCCTAGCCGCCTTTTCAACCTACTAGCGTACGACCCACGAAACGTGTCACACCTCGCCAACCGTACGGGTGAGCGTACGGCTGAAGACCCGAGCGATAACGAAGCGATAACGCAGCGTAGTAACCTTCTAGTTACCGTACTAGCTAGACTTGTAAGGGGTCCACCTATTCGACCCGTCACTCGAATTTACATACGCCGACACTTAAGCGTTAGGGGAGACGGGCAATCTCCCCGTTTAGAAGGAGTAGCGATATTTAGGAAGTTTGAAGGGTAGTTCCCACCTATACCCTTATGTTTACCTAGTATCGATAGATTCGTAGCACCGCTAAATCCTTACCTGGGGATATAGCGTACTATAAATAATAATAATAATTAGTATTACTTAACTTTATTCCGCTTAATAGTAGGTGTTTAGCCTTTTATTTTTATCTAGCTTCGATTATCTAAACTACGAGTACGTGAATTTTTTTCTATTAATCGTAGCTTAAGACTACTCCCCGTAACTAGTGGAATTTAGTTCTCCCTACTCCGCCTTAGACTCCTCCTCCTCTACCTCCGCCTCCGCCTCCGCCTCCTCCTCTACCTCCGCCTCCGCCTCCTCCTCTACCTCCGCCTCCGCCTCCTCCTCTACCGCCGCCGAGGAGATACGGGGCGCTACGAGGCCGCCGCTACTACTACCTCTACCTCCGCCTCCGCCTTAGCCTCCTCCTCTGCCGCCGCCGAGGAGATGCGGGGCGCCACGAGGCCGCCGCTACTACTGCCTCCGCCTCCGCCTCCTCCTCTACCTCCGCCCCCGCCTCCGCCTCCTCTACCTCCGCCTCCGCCTTAGACTCCTCCTCCTCTACCGCCGCCGAGGAGATGCGGGGCGCCACGAGGCCGCTACTACCGCCTCCGCCGCACCTTTAGCTTCTCCTTACGCGATAACTTAGGAGTTTATCTATGCTTACATAATAATACAGGGATAGCGTCACGTTTAAGTAGAGATAATAGGGATAGCGTCACGGCCTAATACGGTGTTAGCGTAAGAGGTAGACCTACTTATAGAGCCTTAGTAAAGAATTAATACTAAAATCCGTGTATTAGCCGTAATACTACTTTAAAAATTAAAGTAAATATCTCTATATACTCTAGATCTATATATACACTCGTAGTCTATTTCTTATAACTTTATCTCTTTAAATACACCTCGTATAATAATATATAGTTAGTTAGAAAGTTAAGCTTAGACGTTAGATTTTCTCTAAGTCCCACGATCTTAGGCCTATGAGTCTAAGTTTTAGGTAATAGATTACCGCCCGACTAGGTAATCGTACTCTCTAAAAATAGGTAGACGACGAACGAACGAGGTCTAGAATAGGTAAAACACTTTGATTTTCATATAAAGAGTCGTATAAAGGGTGCTTTCTAGCTCCTAATCCTCGACGGCTATGAGAGCTACCATTCGACCGATTTCGAGCTATTCTATAGGGAGTAGAGTATTATAACGCTTTATATGCCTACTTACTCGTCGTATAAGCTCTAGCCTCTTAATGTCGGATACTTTAGGCCTCTAAAACGGGCGTATAATAAAGAAATCGAGGGTCTTATACGGGCGTATATTACGTACATCGTAAAGGAGGACTTCCTCCTAGCCTTTTATAAGGCGTATAATACTACACTAACTAAGTTAAACGTCTAAGTAGGCTTTCGTGCGACTAGCCTAGTACCGTACGACCCGGATTATGTGATTTCGTAGCTAGATGTGAAGCTTCGGACGCTAATACCGCCTAGGTCCTCTACCGGCTTACTACTACCCTAGGTCTCGAGGACGCTAAATAACCCGATTAAGGCTAAATTATAGACTAAATACATTAAGAATCGCATCGTACGATATTAAGGTAGCTCTCCTTCGTTAATTATTATAAGCTTACGATAGCTAAATAAAGGAATCTCGATAATAGTATACGAGTAGACCCTTATACGCTACGACCTCTCTAAGCTTCGAGACGTAAATGAGCGCCTTAGCCGCCGTCGTCGTACGAAGAAAAAACAGCTACAGAAAGGAGGGTCCCTTACGATTAATTAGGTAAAGGGTTTAAAGGATCAAATTAATACGACGTAGTAGTTATAGGCAGAAACGAGTTAGAATAGTAGTCGTACGAGGAGGCTAGAAACGCGCGCGCGACGCTGTGGCGTCTGCGGGGAGCCCGGCTATAATGCGCGTACGTGTCAGAAAGTTGTATCTGCCTCTGAAGAAGAGGATTCCTTATAGTTTCAATTGATTTAAGGCGTGGTGGTTGAATTGACTTATATGTTGTCGTATAAGTGCTCGGAAGGTGGGCGGGTCACCCGTGTGGGCGGGTCACCCGTGGATTACGTTAGCGATGTCACTCCTCTATAACTCTTCGGTGCTTCAAATCCTCCTGAGCTTTTAGTTTCTCAGGCACACTTGAACAGGACCTAGCCCATTTCTTTTCTTTGGTTTTCCAGACAACACCTCTCTTTCAATTCGCCAGTAGCTCCTCTATCTATTCCCTTTCTTCATACGTCTGCTCTCTCCCATAGCCCCTTCGCCTATCGCGGCTTCGCAATGCGTGTCACTGCCAACGCCGCCAAGGCAGTCTTCCTCATTCTCAACCACGTCATAGCAGCCCACGTCCCTCATAGCGCCGAGGCTCTGTACCGTCGCGTCCACGAAGACCATGGTGCAGGCGAGCAGGAGTTCAACGCCTACGGAGTCCGAGTGGCGCCACGCTCCGGCAACTACGGTACCGAGCTGACGGACAACCTCCTCGGACGCCAGGCCTGTGAGCCAAAGTGCCGCAGGAAGTGCCCGCGCAAGAACTTCTTCATCGACCCAAGCAACTGCCGGCGGTGCTTGCCTTGTCCGCCCAATACCAACGCAGGTACTGTACTTCCATTTCTAGCCGCTTAGCATACAGAGTACTTAAGCTTTACGTGAGGGTGGCTGCGATGATTAGAGAAAGTATTACTGACCATTGGAAACAAACAGACCCCACGTACACAGGCTGCATTCCAGAGAAGATGTCGGACGAGGAAAAGAAAAAGAGGTTCGAAGAAAAGAAAAAGGAAAAGAAGAAGGAGTGGAAGAACAAAAAGTTTGAGAAGAAGAAGCCCGAAAAGAAGAATGTGTACGAGGAGCGGGAGAAGCGCAACAAGGTCCGCAGACTCGGGCGCTGTCTCACGATCATCCCTCTCGTCATGGGCGCGGCCGTGGCCGAGGAGTACGCCGGGGAGTTCTTTGACGAGGACTACCTCGAGAGTATGGCCCTCCTTGATCTCTGGCCCGCGGATGAGCAGATCGACCCCTGGCTCGACGAGTCGTCGGACGGGCTGTTCGAGTCCGACTGGTACTTGGACCAGTGGGTCAACTTTGCCAACGCCCAGCCCCAGAAGCGGTCTCTGGGCGGCGAGGTCGACTGGCAGGAGAGGAGCATCCAATTCTCTCATGACGAAAGTGCCGTCCACGGAGTATCTTCTCGCGATCCTGCACCAGCGGCAGCGGTGGCGGAGCTCGAGGTCAGCGACCCCAATCTCAATAAGCGCTTCTTCTGGTTCTTCCTCATCCCCATTGCCACGGCTGCCATCTCCGCCGGTGCGAGAGTCGGGGCTCGGGTCGCTGCCGCGGCGGCCAAGGGGGCCGTCAACGTGATCAAGTACACCATGAAGATCGCCAAGGGTAGCAGCTCCAAGAAGAGCAAGAAGGAAAAGGACGACGCTGCCAGCAAGATCTCCAAGCACGACAAGTGGAGACAGTGCATCCGCAAGTCTGTGCCGTGAGCTTAGTCTGTGCCTTTGTATGGAGACAGTCAACAGGGCCGGGGAGGACCGACGGGGAAATTTAGTCAACCATAACTATCTATTCTATCCATCTATTTGAAAGTATTACACGGGTCAGAATGGGCCATTGGCGTGTATTGTGATGTGCAGTTCTGTGCCCAAGTGGGTTTGTGAGTTGAGGAACTCCCATGTTGTGATCTGTCTTGGTCAGATAGACAGGTTCATGTGGCCTAGTAGTTCTTCTCAGATTCTTGGTTTTGACCGAAAGCTCCCGTGATCGATTTACTCAGTGCGTCTAACCACGCCGTTATTGCTCCTGGACTACTTGTGCAACTGGGCAATATTTACCGCAGCCCCGCCCTCGACGTCGAAAGAAATACCATCAATAATCACACCATTAACCCGGATTACCGTCTCCTCGGCACTCGCCAGCAGCGGCACCGGCAGTGTCACCACGCCCTTAGTCCCCGCGGGTGCCTGCACCGTCATACTCAGCAGCCCGCTGTCGTCACAGAACTTCCACTCAACCGCCACTGCGCCGCCGCCGGGCGTCGGGACCTTGCCGCTCGCCCACCGCTCGCCAAGCGTCAGCGGTGACACGGCCCACGTGGCCCAACCCGGCGTCGTAGCCCGTGCGCCGAGCACGAAGCGGCTGAGCTCGGCGGTCGGACCCGCGGCCCAACCGTGCGCGAGGCTCGTCGCGTGACCGAACGCAGGCTCGCCGGCATCGTTCAGCGTCTCCCAGAGGCAGCCCGTGTAGTTGGCATTTTTCAGGTCGATCATGGGGGACCACAACGTGTCGAGCAGCTCCCTTGCCGCAGGGACGTTGCCCGCGGCGAGGGCGGCGCGGAGGTGGTAGCCCGATGCGTACGGGCTGATGTATCGCCGGAAGCCGGCTGCTGTAACGGCGGGGGAGAAGGCCAAGGGCCCGCGCGGGGTGGACAGCTGGTCTGAGAGCGTGGCTAGAATCACGTCTGACGAATGTGCCGGGTCCTGGTTAACTCCGGCGAGGATGGCGAGGGCGTTGGCGTCCTGGGCGAAGCCAGCGCGGTTGGACTCGGAGATGACGTACGCGCCGAGCTCGTCGCTCCAGAGCCGTGCGTCGATAGCCGTGCGGAGCGCGTCCAGGCGGTCCTGG